CCCCAAAACCCCAAAACCCCAAAACCCCAAAACCCCAAATATCTAAAATTCGTTGAAATTCAGTTATTATATGGGCTGCCCAATATTTCAAGAAGAAATTTAAGTCTTTCAGGTTTTGACCGTAGCTTTTAGAGTAGGAGTAGAAGTTTAGCATTGAGATTTTAGGATTTTTGAGACTTGGCTGGTTATGGTTGAGATTGAGGTGGAGTGGGAAGGAGGAGGGATTTGGAGGAAAGAGAGAGGGTTTTAATGGGTAAGGATGGGAGAGGTGATGGGGGTTATTGTTTTGTCTCTTTGATGGCTTTAAAGGAAAATTTGGGTGTCGAGGAAAAGTTGATGAAAGACTAAGTATTTTAATCAAATTTTCACAGCTTTATGTGAATAAAATAAAATTATTTCTAAAAGATTAGAATATTTAGAAAAGATCACATTTAGGTGAACTCTGAAACGTTAACTAAATCATGCAATTTAGTTATGCAAAGTGATAAGAAAATTGTTGTCTTTTCATAATATTTTAGAATTTGCAATGTATCTTATTTAAGCTCTTTGCTTACGTATATCTTTATAAGATACGGTATTTTCTCAATAATAATTCTTTGAAATCTACAATGGAGCACTTCTGAAGACTCTTACTTATACAAGAGGTAAAGAAAATTGGATTTATTTATTGATCTTCTCATATGAAAGAGTTAAGAGCCTTATTTTGGTTTATACAGTGGAGATAGAAAGATGAAAATTTCATCATCTTTTTTAGAACTGGACTCTCAATTTTTAATAATTTCTGATCAATTTTATAATTTTTGCAATAGCTCTCTTGATAAATTTTTAATTAGATTGCTCTTGTGGTCGTAAGGCTCAACAGTTATAATCTTCCCAAAGATTATTAAATCAATTCGACAATATGATGCAAAATCTAAAATAGAAGTTTACGACACAGCTGTTAAAGAAGACTGATAAACCTCATTGTACCTAAAAGCTTAATTATAAACGAAAGCCTCTAGATTAAGTCCTGAGTTGGTTGGTAGTTTTTATGAATTATTTCTATAATATCTAAATGGGAGTAAATGGCTCTTCTGCTATAAAGTTAAAGCTAACTTCTATATCCTTTCTGAATTTTTCTTCTCAGTAGAATGCAGACATTTACCAACATTTGAACAGTTATGCGTAATATCAGCATATTTTTCTCTTTGACACGAGAATTAGTTTGATTATAAAATAGATGCCTATTCTTGTCCTATTCAAACTTTTCAATTTAGATGCTAACTTATGTTTTAAGGCTAAATTTTTTATGATCAAATTACTAGAGGAGTCTATATGATTGATTAACCCTAACTCTTCTTTTCTCTATAACCATGAACGATTGATCAAACTTTTCAACAACTTAATTGAAGTCAACTTAAAAAAATGACAGGCACTTATTACGGATATAATTTGTGATCCCCAAACTCAAAAAGAGGACGTCCTACAATTGTTACAAGCGGTATAATCTTGCCTTCTTGATTCATAAAATATTGAGTGCATTGAGAAGGAAAATCCTTTGGGTCTGAAGCCAGAGGTGCCATCCTCCATACCTGCCCATTAAATTGTTCGATTACGGCCAGATTTCTTGAAGAATTATAATCCTCAATGTTTCTATGAATTCTTCATCATAAACTCAATGGCATTGTTAGCCCATGGACTCCAATTTAAGAGGAATCAAAATTATCAAAAATATGATGCTAACATTTTTAGAACTGAAGAAATATTTCAAAAGTGTATTTATAATGTTTTGGACTTAAAATACCACCTTGTTTCCAAGTGCAAAGCTAAATAGAAGCTAGATTGCTTCATAAAACATCTAAAAGACAACTTTCGCTTGTCTATTGGCCACCTATTTGAAGGTTAAGACTAGCTCGTATATCTTAATAATCCAAAAATAGATAAATATTTTACCGTTGCTCTCAAATTTTGAGTTGAACTTCAAGAGTATTCTCTAAAAAATTTGAAACATCTAGTTGTCAATTTTACTATTACAAATAGAGAAAAACAAGAAGTTGTAGTTCATTGAGAGATTTTAGCAGAGTTCTCATATGAGATCTTAAGAAAATATAATATTATTTCTACTCTCTCCTGATGAAATTATATAATCATGATTCGGTAAAAAGTATTGGTCTAAATTCTACGAATTAGGCAATAGGCTCCTCAATCCTATTCTTACTCTTTTTATATAATTTCAGTCCTGGTTTATGCAAAGGCATGGCAGAATTAATTTTAGCAATCATCAACATTTGCTTAGATTTCACAACTGACTGTAGGTTAAAACTTCCCAATAACTTAGAAAGTTTTGAGAGTATCTCCAATCAATGCTAAAGTTCTTCTTCTGGAATAAAACTTAATTGAAAAGATTAGTGCTACTCCACTGCTTCTTTTCTTCCTCAATTGGCTAAGCTTTTGTATTACCACCGATATAGAAGGTACCTTAAAAAATTAGTAGATGCAGGAAGTGTGCTCTATTGCTAAGAAATTAAAGAAGCATCAAAACTTTACATTGGGTTGTATTGGGAACTAATTATAAGAATTAGAAATATGATATTGGCTCCTGCAAAGTCTCTGTACAGTTATGCATCAATTTTTGGAGGTAATAGGTGTATGCTTCTTCGTTGACCTCTTCTTCTCTCTTTGTGTTGAGACAGTCTACCATCTTTTGGAACAATTCAGATTTCTGCCAGAATTTGAGGAAAATAATTGCAAAATATTTGTTTGATAATACTTTTTGGAGCTTTTTGTGATTAAATTTTACCATTAAGGTTTTGAACAAGCTAGTAAACTCATAGGTAGAAGAATCTGCATTAGATGTAACAGAGCCGAATGATATTATTACTCTAAATATTTCATCTAGCTCAGGAGTTACAGGGATATCTAACTCTGAACTTAAATAAGTTATTGAATTTTCATCAGTGTGAGGGCAGATAAGATCTACCTCATTTTCATTTCTACAAATAAAGCATTTCATTTGCCTTATATTTGTCTGACAAGTTCTTCTAAAGAACCTGAGTATTGCCTTATAAATGACATCTTTCCTTGATTTGGAATTAGTAAAGCCTCTTTCAATTTCTTTAACTTCCTTCTTAGAGAGATTCGTCATTGATAAGGGCTGCACTAAATAGCCTTCATCAATTTGCTCAGAGAGAAAAATTTTAAAGGTCTCTTCTCCTTGAGATTGTATGATATCTCTTTTATTAAGTTCTACAATTGGCTCACATTCAGCTTGTTTGTCAGACTTCTTTTCCATTGCATGTGTTCAACAATCAGTCTGAGGCATTAAAATCTCTGTCATCCTGGGTGCAGAAATATCTTGGTGGAATGGATTTTTGTCTTGAGTTTTGCAGAAACAGAAATTATGAAGATTATAATTTCTATTCATCATCCATGAATTATAAATCCCTAAATGTAATTTTAAGTAAAAGTTAAGATCTAAAGCCACTTCTTATGACTACTTTGCTATCTAGAGTTACAAGTTTTTTAAATTGGTTTGAATCTTGTTGAAATTATCAGCAAATCTAATTCTCACTACTGATAGCTAAATCCCCACAATCTTATTTAATGTCAACTCCTAAGAAATCCTAAATCTCACTAGTATTAAGAGTTGAATATTTCGAGAACAAAAGGAAACAAACTTAGAAGTTCAAGAAAATTAGGATGTGTAACTGAAAGCTTAAGAGGTTCCCAAACTTTTATCTTCTTTAATTAGCAAATTATGATTTGAACTACCAAAAATTAAGATTTCTCTCATCTCCTTGATCTCATAAAAATACGAAACAGCCACAATCAACCCTAGACTACCCAATCCCTTCAAAAGCTATCTAAAACACCTAAACCCCTTTCAAAACAGCCACTAATTCCGAGGCTTCGAATGTGTCTATCTCCCCTTCCGACTTACACTGAGAATCTCTTGCCTTAATCTGGTACATATTTATCTAATTATTTACAACCTATTTCTCCCTTTTAGGGGTTTTGGGGTTTTGGGGTTTTGGGGG